TTTTTTTTTTTTTTTTTTTTTTTTTTATTTTTTTTTATATATATATATATATATATATATATATATATATATATATATATATATATATATATATATATATATATATATATATATATAATTAAAATAAAATAAATAATTTATTTTAATAAAATAAAATAAAATAAAATAAAATAAAATAAAATAAGAAAAAAGACACTCCCATAAGGAAAAAAAATGATAGAAAATATTTTTTTTAAAATGTTCTTTCTCTGTTGAATGTCAAAATCACAGGATGGCTAATCATTCTGCCTTCAAATGTATGAGGTTATCAAATTTGGATATCTGTGGTATCAAAAAACAAAACAAAAAGAAAACATAACAAATACCAAATACCTCAGCTACACTGTAAAAAATGCTGGGCTTCACACAGTCAATTTGGTTTGGGACAACATGAAAGAATTAAGTTAGCTTATTAGTTTTTACAAATTTAATTGGAATAAACAAACTCAAAAATTCAAGACAAAACTTAAGAATTGTGCTGCTTTAGCTCATTTTAAATAAGTAGTTAAAACAAAGTGCAAACATGCTGCATAGTCTGCTATAATTGTCTACCTGGTTTATTATCTTTCTCACCTCCTCAGGAACTGCTCGTATGTTAGTGAACCCCTTTCTGAAGACCACAAACACCCGGCGGGCTCCGCAGCGAAGGGCAGACGTGGCACAGTCAAAAGCCGTGTCTCCAGCACCCAGAACAATCACAGTCCCACACAGATCAGGCAGAGCAGAGACACAACCGCACATCCCTGAACACACCCACACAAAAACAAAACAAAAAAACAACAGCAAACATCATCAAACTGTTTCTGCATGGAAGATAATTGTATTTATTGTTTAATAAAAAAATGAATACAATTTAACCTTTTCGAATCATATTTAATTCAATGGACATCACATGTCAGGTTGATTTTGTTGTTTCGATTCTGGGGCATTTCATTAAATTTAAAGTGTTCCTATTTTAACAATTTTTACAAGACGTAAGTTAAGTGCCTTTAAATGCAAACGAGCTGGTTCTTCTCGCCCATTGTTTTCACGTGTGTCTGCTTCTTTTACTCTGTCAGATAAACTGCAGTCAGAGACAAAGACAGACACTGATGAAGTTTTGATGAGTTCAAGTTTAAGTTCAAGTTCATTTATTTATAGAGC